AGGAAGCCTTAAAGATGAAATAATATTTAATTTAGATTTATAGTATTTGTGCATATTTACAGTAGATTTTTTTTTTTAGCTTTGACTAATTTTTATATCTTAAAAAAAAACAACAATTGACAATTTTCATTAGCTTAAAAAAGTTTTTGTGCTTAGTAATTTTCATTAGCTTTTACTTTTTAATAAACTTCTGTATCTTTAACCCTTGTCCACTGTTCACATTTACTACCTTTTTATTATGGTGGGGATGAAAACATCCATTAAATTAAACTGCTGTAAATATGCATCAAGTGAAAAAATGTTCCATTAATTTTGCATAATTTTTAAAATTTATTTAAAGATAAGATTTGTGCAGCTTCTCTTATTGCAGCAAACTCCATTTTTACTTTTGATATTTGGCGCCAGTTTATCAGGAAGTGACGATTTTGATCTCTTTGATTCGTTGGATGGAAACGCAGCTTTATTTGCACATCTTTTATCCAATAATTCAGTTTTGAGCATTTCAAGATGGAAACAGCTGTTACTAAATGCTCAAGAGCAAGACTGTGATAAAAGGCAAAAAAAGGCCAGTCCACAATTACATTTTATATTGAAAATACAACATTTTGTGTTTTTTTTTTTCACTAAATCAGTGACATCATTTATGAATTTGCCAATTAAAGAGTTAAAATCCTATAATTTTCTAAATCATTTAGCAGTTTTGATCAGGACTTAGGCTAATTAACAGATTTATGCAAAATAAATTATTAATTAAACAAAATATTTAATTGCAATTTTACAGCAGTTTAATTCAGTGGATGTTGTAAATGTGCCCAGAGTTTATTTTAGAGTTTTTTTTATTTATTTAAATTCTCAAATTTAAATTTGAGAAAAGTATTTTCTCAAAATATATGTCAAAATAAGATTTGTCACCACATCATTTTGCGAGCTGAAACACAAAATCAAATATGGTCAAATTAAGACTCAAAATCCCCCCAAAGTGGATGAAAAAATCCCCAACATTAGGGTTGGCAATTAATATATCTATTTAACCCTCTACTGCACGGTGTCACCATATGGCAACATGATACTTATGTTATTTCCCTGACACTGTTTTTTAAACATACATATATTTTTTTTGTTGGAAAGAGAAAACCCTAGAGGAGCTGATGATGTGCTTTGGTTAAGTCACGTTACATGCTGTGTTTTTCTTTAGCATGATTTCTAAAAGACTGACGTTTATTGTGAGTAGTTACTGAATTCAACTGTAAAATTCAATAAAAACAAAGGATCAAATTATGTCAGATTCACAAAAAAAAAGATTGAAACATCACCTCCAGTAAGCTATTTTCACAGCTCAATTTTTTTTTAATCAAATTATCTTCTTGCAAATGGATCAAATGTATGTGCTACCAAATGGCGAGGAACAATAGTGGAACGTGTAATATTGCAATGGGTTAGCTAGCTAGCAAGGTCAGCTGTGAACTTTTAACTTGTAACAATAACAACATAAGAGCTAGTAATATAATGTTGATTACTTGTTTGGTAATGACATTTGCATTATGGATAAACTCTAGTTTTAATGGCAATATTAATTTTGAATAGATATGAATACAGGGGACGGTGTATTAGCGAGCACCACCATGTTCTTTGGTAAGTGAAACAAGAAAAGAACAGAACTGGCTCTTCCTGCAGATGAAAGTGAGGATGAGATGGGTTTTAGTGACCATGAGAATGATGCAGACTGGACATTTGATAGAGATAGTCCAGGTAAGTTAGCTCAGAGGCAGATAAGACAGGTGTAGTATTGTATCTAGTATAGGATAAACATTGTTAGCTTATAGCTAATCTGCATCTGGCTATCCTAGACTTGTTATTTATTAGTTATAATATTTACTAGAGAAAATAGTTATATTTACTGTATGTTGTATACATGATAATACAATATTAGGTTTGTTTCTAATTATATTCAGCATGAAATTAATGGAATAAATGAAAGCTGTTGGAATATGAGTTGCTGAAAAGTAAGTTGTCATTGAAAAGTTCTGTGTTAAAGCTTATAATGCTGCAAAACAAATAAATTATTTTAAACAACATAATTATTAATTTTGAGGAAAGTTTAGAATTAGGAATTTCTAAGTTAGATCCACTGTTGGATGTTGTTGCTATATGGCAACATTTCATAAAGTACCTTAAAAAATATTTTTCCAATTTTTTTTACAGCACTTCAAGATAAGCCATTTTAATTAAAGAAAAACAGTTTAAAAAAATTGATAGATTCATCATAATGCATGCGGTAGAGGGTTAAATTTTAGTTTAAGTGTTTTTAAGTTTTCTTTTACTTTTAGAATTGTTGTATTCCTTTTAAGCCCATTTTTCACTTACTGAACGTTGTAAACCATTTGTAAACATTATAACGTAGTTAACAATAACAACACTGGGTGGGAAATGTATGGTGTAGGCAACCTAAAAAAAGAAACAACTGCGCACCCTAAAATCAGCTGCTGAAAAACCAACAGAAAACCAGGTATAAATGCTGTAAGTATACATGTGTGTGTGTCCCACCCAAGAAGCTACAATTAGCAAACAGGTATTAACACAGTATTTTAAGTATACCGCAGAGAAAGCACATTCCAGGGTGTGTTAACGGGTGTGTGTTAACAAGGAAAACTGTGTGACCATTTAAGGCTGATTTTGTTAGAAGAGTCTCTCTCATACACAGTGTTCTCAGTAGCTGGCGCTCTACCATCTAAACAGAGTGTCTGTGCCAAAAAGGCTTCAAGAGTCCCAAATGAAGAAAATATTAGGAGAACAGAAAACTGCAAGTTATTTTTATCCACCAAAAAAGACTACAAGGTTAAAAATGAAGTGAAATCCTTGGCACTTGGTTTGCAATGATTGTCTCAGTTTGACTACAAGGGGTGCTGCAGCAGACATTAGCATAAACCTTTTCTTCTTCTATACTACCTGACGAAAGTCTTGTTGTCAATCCTAGTTGTAAGAGCTAGGAATAATAACTTGATAAGTTGCTTATTTGGAAAAGTGGCAGACGACCTATTGGAATCTGCATGGACCCAAGATTCTCACAGAAATCAGTCAAGTTTAGTAAAGGAAAACATTCAGGTTAAATTCAGTATGGGGCGTGCAAGAGACCTGCAGGTACTGTATTAAGCCTGCGGTATCAAGACATTTGTGCAACCCATTACATTACAAACCACAGAAGTGGGCAAACTCTTAAGCAGGATAGCGCTCCTTCTCATGCTTCAGCCTCCACATCAAAGTTCTTGAAAGCAAAGAAAGTCAAGGTGCTCCAGGATTGGCCAGCCCAGTGACCAGAAATGAACATTATTGAGCTTGTTTGGGGTAAAATGGAGGAGGCATTGAAGATTAATCCAAATAATTTTGATGAACCCTGGGAGTCCTGTAGGAACGCTTTCTTTGCCATTCCAGATGACTTTATTGATAATTTATTTGAGTCATTGCAGAGATGCAGTCCTCCAAGCTCATGGGAGTAATATATTAATTATTTTTCCAAGGTACCATGACTTTATATTCTATACTGTACATTATTTCTGTTAAGTGACAAGACTTTTGTCTAAGCTAAGTCAGACCTTACTGTACCCATAATCCAGAGGCCTTTGCCTTTCATATAACCCATTTCTGATACCAAACGATTAATTTAGTTTAGTTTAGTTTAGTTTAAACTTTATTGTCCGTTCTGCTTGACACAGAAAGTACATTTTTCTTCAACACTGGATTTAGGACAACAATTACAAACATACAACAACGACACAATAACACTTATCAACACAACAACATAAGTTAAAAGTTTAAAAACCAAATTAGCCAAATTAACTAGAAGTCAAGTTATTATTTGTTGTTCCTAAAACTTGGATAGGCTTTTGTCAGGTATGGTAATGATATGAATATAGTGTGAAGAAAATGTTGCTGAGGAGAATACTTTATTACTATAAAAAAAAACAAAAAAAAGCTTACTTTTTATAATGATCAATTGCCCCATTGCCAAAACACACATACAAAAACTAGGCTTCAGCTGCTTTCAGCCATATATAGGCACAATATCTACTGTAAAAGAGTAATAGAAGAAGTAAAAACAGGTTAGCTGCTTGGTTGCCTGAATTAATAGCCATTCTCAAGTCAAGAATAATGAAATAATTTGCGTTTAATAAAGTAATGAACCCTTACACTTTTCCTTTTGATGGCATATTTATCATTGCTTCACATTACAAATCAGGTTAACCAAAGCAGATGCAGTTATTGCATTTGCAGAGACGAGTTAATAATGGAGCAGAATTACTACACATTGGCAGCTCAGTGGCTCAGTGAATAGCTCTGGTTTGCCCCACAGTCCAAAGACATGCCGTAAAGGTGAATTGGGTAAACAAAATTGGCCATAGTGTATGAGTGTGTGTAAATGCAAGAGTGTATGGGTGTTTCCCAGTGCTGGGTTGCAGTTGGAAGGGCATTCGCTGTGTAAAAACATATGCTGGATAAGGTGGCGGTTCATTCCGCTTCATAAATCCCAGATTAATAAAGGAACTAAGCTGAAAAGAAAATGAATGAATGAATGAATGAATGAATAGAGTTCTTGGGCATATCAACCAAGAAAATAGCAACTTTTCATTTTCTGTCAGTCTTAGTACATGACGTAACTACAGAGGAATCACGTTTTAAATAAGAAAATGATCAAAACTGTGTTTTAGTGACCTAAACTGACTATTAGTAATTTTTGCAACTCTAAGTTCCTTTAAAGGTTGGACATCTCCAGCTGTAAAGGACAACTAAAGCCTAAAGGAAAATTTTGTTCACAGTTACTGTGCCCTGTATCATTCTAAATCTATATCACTTTCTTTCTTTTGCAGAGCACATAAGAGGAAGATATAATTGTAGAATGTTTTTAACAATACATTGGATTTCATTTGAGATCAAAACCACATTGGACAACAGAAGAAGTTACAGGGGTAAGTAAACGGCAAATGTTTCATTTTCGGATTTTAAAAGTGGTATTGACATCCTTACCTATTTCCTTGGCAGCTTTTCTCCAGACTGTCCTCTTTAGAATTAGACGATGGTATCTCCCTCCCACTCTCCTGCTCCAGAGTTGATGGATCCAGTCCAGGCAGGGGGGTTCGCTTGCCATCCACTGGTCCTCTCTGGATCCTCCCTTGAGCCTTGAGATCAGCTTCAGAGCTCCTTTTCATGGCTTGGAGTTGCGCTAGAGGCACTATGTCGCTGTCTTGAGGCCTGTGCCAGACCGTCTGCTGGCTCGTACAGTTGTAGTAGTAAAACCGATTGTTGTTGCTATCGAAAAGCTCCCACCACTGGTTGCCGTCTGACTGACGGACAGGGGCGCCAGGCGGTGGTTCCCAACCACACTCGCCGGTCAGCAGGTTAACATACATGCGCTCCCTCGAGCGCGGCTCCACGATCTCCACCCAGTCAGACCTAGAGAGAAAGGGCAGATGGGAAATGTAGTCAGGATAGTCAAGGTGAAATATGGTGTACACTACAAGACAATCAAACAACAGGTTGAGTTACTAGTTCATTAACAATGAAAATTCTGTACAGTTGTAAATCCTACTTTGCTAAATAAATAGGATTTTAACAAAGGTTACATTTAATGTTTTTGGGTTCCAAACCAAAAAACAAAACAACATTTAGTCTTGGACTGGTTTGCTTGGTGCACTCACTGCTTTTTATAAGACCAAACTAGGGATACAAAAATATATAGCTTTTATGAGGTAAATTTGCAATCAAACTGTGCTGTGTTTAGAGCTAAATACATTTGCTGTATGAGTGTATAAATGGGAAGAGCGTGTAAAGAAGTCCAAACTGTACCACGAAATCATCATTTAAATACATGGAGTAAGTGAAGTTCTGCTGCAAGACAACACTTATCACTTCAACTAGCATTACCTGTGCTGTCATGTCAACAATGATAAAATGACTCTTGTTCACTGTTGATAAAATGTTACTATCAATTAAATGTGTTGATAGCTTGTGTTTTTTTAATCAGTACGGATATATATAATGGAAAACATACTAAAGAAATTCATTCATTCATTCATCTCATCTCATCTCATCTCATCTCATCTCATCTCATTCATTCATTCTCCTTCGGTTTAGTCCTTTATTTCTCAGGGTCCTTGACAGCGGAATGAATTGACACAGCATCACCCTTCCAGCATCATGCTGGGAAACACCCATACACTCACACACATACACTACGGCCAATTTAGTTCACCTAAAGTGCATATCTTTGGACTGTGGGGGAGCACCAGGAGGAAACCCACGTTAAATCGAGGAGAGCATGCAAACTCTAGACAGAAATGCCAACTGGCCCAGCCGTAATTCAGACCATGAACAGTGCCAACCACTGAGTCAGTAAATAAAAAATACTCTATGATGACAGTGGACACACTATACCTACACAGAGTTCTGTCCAATCAGCTTACAAAAGTAGATTTTTTATCATAAGTGCCCTTTAAAATGGCCTTTCAAGGATAAGGAGTGCCCAACTGAGTTCAGCCTGCCGGTTGCACTTTCATTCTAGCTTTAGTCTCTCAAGGTTTCCTTCATTCATTTTCTTTTTGGCTTAGTCCCTTTATTAATCCGGGGTAGCCACAGCGGAATTAACCACCAAGTTATCCAGCACGTTTTACGCAGCGGATGCCCTTTCAGCTGCAACCCATCTCTGGGAAACATCCATACACCCTCATTCGCATTTATACACTACAGACAATTTAGCTCACCCAATCCACCTATACCCCATGTCAAACGCAGGGAGAACATGCAGACTTCACACAGAAACGCCAACTGACTCAGCACATCCCCTGGTTCTACTTTAAGCATGAGCCGGTTTAAGATTCTGACAGTATGATAACCTTAGGGAAAAAAAATCATGGTTTCACGATTTAATGGTATTGTAATTACTGCTCTAAAAGATGTTCTTTTTAAATGTCTGGGTAAAACAGTATATTTACAGATATTATGTATCAACATGGTATATTTATTTGTAATATTTGAAATATTTTAAAACAATAAATGTCAGCAATAGGCATGGGACGATAACCATTTTTTTAAGGTATACACTGTTTGGAAAGGCCAAGGTTTGAAAACTGCCAAAATTTTCTGCTATACCGTTACCAAGGTATGCGGACGCTTTTTTTACGTTTTAAGTTTTTTCAGGACAACAGTCTCTCCAGCAGAAAAGATATTCAAATATGTTGCTTTAAATTGTAAAAAAAAAATCTTTGTTTTAGAAACTAATGAAGACAGCAGAATGATGATTTTAATTGTTAAGGCTTATGTTTACCGCTCCAAAATATTTTAAATGTTTCTCAAATTAAACTATATTGTGTTCAAAGGGGAAAAATGTTCTTATTTTTTACCCAGACACTTAAATAAAATATTTTTAGAGCAGTAATCACAATCCCTTAAAACGGTGATATTTTGATCCAAGGTACCAGACAGTCAGAATCATATACTGGCCCATGCCTAGTCAGCAAACATTAAATGAATTCTGCTGTCTTAATTACTTTCAAAAACATTTTTTTTTTCAACTTGAAAAGGCATCTTTGGATATCTTTATTTTCTTTGGATATAATGTAAGCCACTGCACTGTTCAGCTCTAAAGCAAGCATTAGTTATGCAGATGTTTCCTGAATCATGGACTGAAAAAACTCAATAAAATTGTCTTAAAAAACACATAAAAACCAACAACTACCTTAGGAATGGTATAACAGAAAATTTTAATGGTTTTAAAACCTTGACTTTTCAAAACCGTGGTAAACCTTAAAACTGGTTAGCGTCCCATGCCTAATCTACTTGTACATTAAGGTAGCATTCAGAAAAACAAAACACCAGTGAAGAAAATTCCGCGGCCAGCTAGCATTTCAGAAGTGTTATTGCAGAGCAACACAAACAGCATGCAGAAGTATAAATGCAAAACTACGTCCAAGACATGCGCAGTGGATCACGTCGATCACTTAAACACATTTTATTAGCTTTTGTTGTGTTTTTTAAATCATTAAACGTCTTTAAAATACAAAGTCTTACAAAATGCCTTAATATTATTCAATAAAATTTAAATAATTATTACAACGAATTTTGCCTTTGGTTTTTAGCCAAGCGCAACTGAATTTTGGATTCCACCTATTCATACTAAAGACACAATAAGAACCTGTTTCTCTTGTTCTCCTCACTTTAACAGCTGAACAGAGATCCAGCTGGCCTGCACACTTCCACTTTGTGCAGGAGTGTGCAAGTGTGAGCCAGAAAACACTCAACTAAGAGTGACTTTCTGTGGTTCAAACTCAACACACTTAATGCATGTAATAAACCTGCAGCATCAATCGCTCATGTTAAGGCATTCGTCACTGGTTATGTTCAGACGCTCATATGTGCAAGTTTTCCCACAGTCTATTTCAGGAAATCATAGTGAAAGCGCTTTCCCTGAATATGAGGTCAGGTGAGTTTACAAAGCCAGATTTGGCATTTAGTGGCGACCAGGCACACGGCCCACAGCCGAGAGTTTGGAATAGTGGGTTAGTCTAGTGATTCTGGCTCTTCGCTTGTTTCTAATCTTCCATAAGTTACAACAAAAGATCTCAAGCCGGAGATTAACAGGCCTATCTTCCTCTGCTACAGATGGCCAACTATATACACAATGCACCGGAAACAGATATCGTCCAGCTCTGAGATTGCTCTAAAGCACTGTCTGAAACTGTTTCAGGAACAAGACTCACATCTACAAACATGACAAAGCACCTGTTCAGTTCAGGCCAAAAGGGAAAACCTGCAGTGCATCTGTGTCAGTTTTTCATGTATAATTTTCAGATATTGTCTTTAGACAGTGAAAAGGAGGTTTATTTTTTTTTTACTATTTATTTCAGAAACATTTTTTGGTTATGCTGGATGAAAGTTTCTTCACATCCTGATAGCAATTAATACAATTATACATAATTAATACTTTATATCTATTTTAATCAGTATAAGTTACTTTTCAGAGTAATGCATTACAATATTAAGTTACTCCCCCAAAAATTATCTAGCTGCGTTACTAGCTGTGCTATGGTACTTTGAGTTACTTTTGCATTCGTTTTTTTTTTTTTTTTTTTCAGAACTTGCAGGTTTTTATTCTTCTTTTTATTAATTGAGGAGATCTGCAATTACCAATGCACTGTGTAACCTTCATTTACTTTAATAAAAAAAAAAATATATATATATTGCAGGATAATGTTATCTTCCTGACCTCAGGGATATACATGGCATATGTATAGATTAATGAAAGTTGTAATCAATGTGTTTGCAATTTTTTTTTACTTTTTGTGTTTTTAGTAAATCACAGCCCATTTTCCCACAGCCCTCTTTTCCTTTACTTCCATGCATTCATTCATTTTCTTGTCAGCTTAGTCCCTTTATTAATCCGGGGTCGCCACAGCGGAATGAACCGCCAACTTATCCAGCAAGTTTTTACGCACCGGATCCCCTTCCAGCTGCAACCCATCTCTGGGAAACATCCACACACATTCACACACACTCTCATACACTACGGACAATTTAGCCAACCCAATTCACCTGTTTCACATGTCTTTGGACTGTGGGGGAAACTGGAGTACCCGGAGGAAACCCACGCGACGACAGAGGGGCATGCAAACTCCACACAGAAACGCCAACTAAGCCAAGGTTCGAACCAGCGACTCAGCAACCTCCTTGCTGTGAGGCGACCGTGCTACCCACTGCACCACTGCCTCGCCCACCACGCATTCAGAAAAATTAAAATACTTCCATCCATAAGGCTCAGCCATCTTGGTTTCTGTCTGTTCTGAACTTAGAGATATATACACTAGATATCGCATAGGGACCCTAAGCATGCGTCAATAGCGCCGCCACATTGGTACAGTGCTCCCAGAACAAATGTCATTCAACCGCACTAGTCAAGACAGTGTTATTACGTGAAGATGCGGGACTTTAGCGATCTCTACGGGCGTAGTAACGAGCAAACAAAGAAAACAAAGCACAAAGGCAGAAAATTTCATAGGTAATATTATGTTTTTTTCTGTTTTTGTATGTTCTGAACTTTTGTGCTAATCAGGTAACATTATTGATGATAACACAGTCACTTACTGCATTCACCATAAGGCAAAGCAGCTCCTACTCGCACTAAACACTCGGCTTATGCTAGTTTTGTTGAATAAAATCAGCAAACAATGCAAAAGAAATATGACAACGAGATGCTGCGCTGCCAGAAACTTGTATTATTGTCGGCTAAGGTTAGTGAAAGAGTCGTTCGGGGGATTCATTCACAAACGAATCGCTCCCTCCGTCAGTATGAGAAGTGAAAGCAGAAGAGGAGGTGTGTTTCAGGACACGGATTAGATTAAATTTAACAGGGAGATTGAATAGTACATTTTTGTACACACAAACACAAGCTTTTTGTCAGG